GAGGGAGGGAGGGAGGGAGGGAGGGAGGGAGGGAGGGAGGGAGAAAAGGAGGACATGAATGCTCCCAGGGGTAGTGGAGGAGGTTTATAATAGATATGAGGGAAAGCATAAGCCAGAGGCATCTGGAAAAGTCCAGAGTGAACACAGCTGGCCAACTGAACGGGGTCACGTGAGAGGAGGAAAGAGGTAGAGAGGAAAACCAAGAGCAGCTGCCAAGAGGCCAAGACAGACAAAGAGGACCACATGGTCAAAATGGCTGGGTTATATAGGGAAGAACAGCTTGGAGGAGGGCAGCCCAGCCCAGTGCCTGGGCTAGAAAAGTTTAGGGTAGAGGGTGGGATAGGCCAGCCAGGAAGACACTGTTACAGGTAGGGATTGAGGGATACAGGAATAACCTAGTGGCCAGCATCCAATTTGATATATAAATAGTCACTTCAGTTATTCATATGTCCCCCTTGACATGCTGGACTAGGAAGAATCAACAAAACGGCTTCTTTTCTGTGCAGGGATCTAACAGAAGCTCAGCCAATGAGAGTCATTGAATTTTGGATCGTTATCATCTGGTTCTTGTCCCACACTTTGCAAAGGGGAATGTGTCAGCTCTGGGGTGCCACATGCGTGTCTGTGAGGACATGAGAAAAAAACAAGTATGATGATCTGGCCTGGGCGCTTGGGACAATAACACAGTTCCTGTCTGATCACTTGCTGGGAGGAAGGAGATGCTGAGAAGTGTGAGCTGGGGGGGGAGGGGTGCAGAGAGGAGGCCTCCCCCGACCATTCCTCATGATGAGCTTCTATGACAACAAGTTATGACGCGACCGTCTTCCTTAGTTGCACGCTGCTGTGGGTAAGTCTTCTCAGGAACTGTAAGTGATCATGTGACCTTCTTCATTAGGGACCCTGAGCAGCCTAGGAATTCTCTGCCCAGCTGAGAAAAGCAAGTCGAGACCATCTGGTTACCCCAACAACATCCTTCACAGGTCCTTGGTCCCCGGGAGATACAGTCGTACACCACGCTCACAAAAGTCTGGGGACCTCTGGGTACTATTTCCCTCTTCTTGGAAACTCAAAGGGCCCTTGCAGGAAACGAAGCCCTTTGAGAGGCCCGTCAACAAGAAAAGTAAGCTAGAGGCAGGCAGATCTCTGTGAGTTCGAGGCCAACCTGGTCTGCAAAGCCAAGGTCAGCCAAGGCCACACAGGAAAACCCTGTCTCAAAAATAAATAAATAAAATAAAATAGTATTCACTCAAGAACTTTGTTGGAGGCGAGTCTGTGTATCTGTCTGTCTGTTGTCTTGCATAGGCATGCAAGTGTGCTCACGTGTGTACGAGCAGGTAGAGGCGTCAACATAAAGGGACTTCCTCTACTGTTCCCCTCCTTATTTTTTTTTTGAGTTGGGGGTTCTCACTGAACCTGGAGCTTACTGATGTGGGTGGGCTGTTCTTGACTGACTGAGCCATCTCCCCAGCCCCTTAGATGAAAAATCCTTTTACCTCTATAATCTAAATATCCCTTAAAATATTTACATTTCACGGTAAGAAGGGTAGCAAAACACAAGACTGTATACAAATCTAAGCATTCGAGTGTGCGAGGAGCCAAAAAAAGGAAGAAGAAAACGATGGCCAGCCATAAAGCCCAAGTGGATGGTAAATGATGCCCCGGTGAGCTGTGCGTGGTGGTGCACACCTTCAGGAGGCAGAGGCAGGCAGGTCTCTGAGTTCAAGGCCAGCCTGCTCTACATATCAAGTTCCCGAC